CGTCGTTGGATCTTAAACTCCCTAAATTGTACAAACGACCGGTTTCAATAGACCGGCGAAATTTCTCATTTTATTAAAGCACTGAGGTTACGAAAACTTCGAGTTAAACTGATTTCACGGGTTGTCAAAGAGTCCAGCGATTCCTTTTTCCCAGGTGAGGGCCGACTCATTTCGCTTCAATATTCAGGAATGCTCTCGATCTTTTTACGCTTTCATTGCCTCTCGTCCGACATGTTTTGCACGGCGTTTGGTCATGCGAAACCTCCACGAAACATCCACGCCTCGCGCGAGGTAACTTTATCCCGATTCTAAAAATAACTCGAGACGAATTACCTATGGAATAGGGTGTATATGGGGGATGGCCTCTCTGTCCCCTTATAGTTTCTTGTTTTAAACTTAACACCCAAGCCCCCCGCCGCGCCTTCCTTCAATCGTGGTCTTTTGGGAGGGTCTTCTAGGGCCGTTCTTCTAAAGTCCTGTAAAGCGTTTTTTTACATTCAAGAAATTGAAGATAGATATAACATGATTACAGTGTCCGTGAACAAAACAAAAAGGCTTGTTTTGTTTGCAAGGACCCGCGCTCATATTTGCTCTAGCTCCTCTAGATTTTGATTAGAATAACCGGGACATTCAAGAAAAGGGCCCTTGGGTCTCTTATCGCCAAGGGTCATTTTGACTGCACCAAACCAAGTCCCCGTCAAAGTTGAACCTTACTTCCGCTGCATAATAACATGCAAGAGAAGCAAGTGTACATTGCCTCTGGGGAACATGTCCAGCCACAACAGAATTGGGATGCAATTTACAGTGCTCGAACCTTGGTAATTATGGGCTTTCATTGCGCTAAATATGCCTAGAATCCATGCTGAATTAAGCCTTTTCTTTTAATCGTCCAGAGAGCTGCATTACGAAGACTGTTGCCTAGTACTTCTAACTATGGTACAATGTTGGGAAATCAAAATAACGCGAACTTTTACGTCGATGGAGATGCGTTAGGCAGCCATTTGAATGAATTAGACGATGCAGCTAGTAGCAGGTCTTCCTTTGCAGATATATGGGACAGTACAAGCATTGAGGTGAGTAGTTTTGCAAGAAGGGCTTGATGTTTTGGATGAAATCGTAAACACGTAATTCGTTTCCGACAATTGTTCGAAGGTGAGCTGCACGTTCTTGTGCATGTGTATAAGCAGGTATAAGGTCCAGCTGTGTTTAATTTTTTTTAAAATAAAAATCATATTATCAGTAAAATGACGCCCATTTCTATTTAACTTTTTCCATCGCTTATACCTAGTTAAGTTAAATTTTAACTGTAAGGTTGAATTACCAAGCAATTGATGTCAGTTTCATGTAGTTGTTCTGTCTTTTGTTTAGATCAGAGATGAAGCTCAACAGAGGGGAGATTTTAATGCTACAACCAGTCTCCTTCTAACTTGCAAAAGCCAGGTCATCTATCCCTATTTCTACATTTTGTCCTTGGTAAGTGTTTAAGAGCCCTGGGTGGGGGTGGGGGGTTTAATCTGGTTTGAAAATGAGTAACATTTCGTTTGTGAATGAGGATTCTTTCCAAAAAGGCTTGGTGGTGAGATAAGCAAGTCTGTCATCATAATGAAACTCATAAAGGATAAAAGCAGACCAATCTGGACATGGCTCAGGGGACCTTGCTTCAAAACACTGAACACAGGATGACAGCATTTTGTTATTTTTACACACAACCCAACAAAGTGATACATTTATGGATAAAAATGTTAGTTTTTGGTCCTGAACACCCTGAGTGAGACTAAATTCTGCAATTTTTACCCCCCAAACAAGATGACAAACATCCCTGACACTTTTATGTGGGAGTGTCCCCGCTCCAGCCTTTTCAAGGTATTAGGATAACCATACCAATTTCTTCAGCTTTTACAAAGCATAATATGTTATTTATATACAGTTGAACCCCGCTTTACAGACACCCTCTTAATACAGACATCTCGTTATAACAAATACTTTTCTTTGTCCCTGGGGAAAGCCCTTACACTGTGTCTAAATTCAACCATCCTAAGTAACACGGACAGCTGTTAATAGGGACAATGGACACTTGTTTCTTGCCCAATCAACAGATTCTCGTAGAAAGTCAACCTTGCTAATGCAGACACTTCATTATCAACTGTCTGCTGTGATAGAACTTTCCTTCTTGAGGGTAAAAAAACCTTCAGTTCACAGTATTTCAATGTTCCCAGTACTACAGTGCACTGGATAGGGTGAATTGTAGATACCATTTTCAGACTATTTTGGCATTAAATGAATTATGCAGTGAATGGTTTTGATTAAGTAATATATAAATGAACAATTTGAGTTTTTCGATGGATTTAGTCCAAGAAATAATGGCTTGTGAAGGTTAGAAATGTTTAATTTGATGATCCTATAATGACCTACTTACTATATGGACACTCCGTTATTTTATACAGACACTTTCTATCGCCCGCTCAGTATCCATGTTAACGGGGTTTGACTGTATTTTTATTAATTATTTTCTAGAGTCTCTTCATTTTGTCCCCCTTTTCTTGCTTTGTTGTTTTCAGTTAAAAAAAAGAGTTGTTAATATACAGTAACTTAGAAGTTTAGCAATGTAACTGTCTCCACTTTCATCGCATTTGTTGTTGGTAGTATAAACCTTGCTCAACCCTTTCCATATTTGCTTTTTTTGCTTTGTACTTTCTGTCAACTACTAAACAGATTGCCCTGTGTGATTCGTTTGCTTTCAAAACTATTGTTACAGAAGTTACTGATGTAAGCTGCCATAGAATTCTCCAGAGGTATGGATGTGTTCTAAAACAACACTGTTATGTTTATTTTCAGGTTGCATGGCGACCATTTCACATTCAGTCATTCCGTTACCAAGGCTGCTCATTGCGGAAAATCCTCAACATTATGTACACCATTTTCATATTTCTCTTAATTATATTTAGTTATGGATCTAGTATTATGGCTTGTCAAGCCCGGCCCATCAAAAATGAGGTGTGTATATTTTCGAGAATTTCCATTTTTAACTGTCTTGTCACAACCTGCAATGCTAAGAAATTTGCCATAATGTAACTTGAACTGAAAATGCATTATTCTTTCACAACACACATAATGAATATTTAACAGTTATTCCTCAAGCCCGAATGGGCTCTGAGTCAATAGCCCATGAGGCCGAAGTTTTAAAGTAGTAAAATCCAACTGGTTGGTCAAAAATATCAAGAATAAAAAACTTTTAGCCTGTTAAAGCTAGAGTTAAATCCTTTTTTGCCGCCAAAAAGCCCACAGCACTAATAATAGGCCACCAGATGGATTTTACTAAAATGTGAGATCTGCTACCCCATTAAAAATCTTGCCAAGCCACCTTAACTCTAGAATTTGGAATATTTCGGCTGTTATGTGTGGGAGAACCCCCCCCCCCCTCTACCGGGGAAGCGGGTTAGGTAGGTAGGTAGCTTTTTAATGTTCCGCTTGTGTTACCCTTCACTCATTCCAGCCTTTGCTACAATTATTAAGACCTCAGCAACTGATTGCCAGTTAATAGCAATATGTGTTCTTTCCACGAAGATTTCATTCCCATAGGAGGTAATCCAAGAAAATGATCTAGAGCTTGAAAGCTCTAATACTATTGTTTGCAGGGTGTCCAGCAATTTTTTTTGCAAAAAGTAGGATTTTCTTGTGGTGTTAAGGCAGTAGTGACTTGCTAGCTGCCACCAAGTGCTTACATTGTGTTCTGATTTTCTTTTTATTTAGTTAAGACATTTTCATAAAACCACAGCACCCATAAAAACAGTCACACATCCAAGCAGCATCTCTCCACATCCGACAAACAGGACGAATGTTACAACCCCAAACTATTCAACTGCTACGCCCTCAAGTTATTTCCAGGAGTTCACTAGTGGACCTCTGATATATGGAAACTTAACAAGTCCAGGATTGCTTCCTTTCTATACGTTGGCCACACCAGCATTATGGAGGCCAGCTGTAACTGAGTGTTCACATATCTTCAGTACGTATGTGGTGCCCAATGTATTACACTTCTTGGCCTTCTTCATTGGATTTTACTTATTCAGGATACAAGAAAGTGAGGGACTCAATGCCTTGATAGAAAAGGTCAACATTTATTCTTATTTTCTTATTTATTTATTTCATTATTTTTTATTTGAT